GACAAAAGACCCTCTGAAAATTTTGTTGGCTTTCATCGCCAGCAAAGGATTTCCTGCAAATGAATACCGTTTTTATACCACTTTTCCAAAATGTGATGTAAGTTCTTGAAATTATATTATTTTAGCTTTATCTTTAATATCTTGCTCTTAAAATAGCCATGCTGCCCTGGCGTTTTAAGTGAAAGGGAACGACCGCAGAAAATCCGAAAATTTCGTTCTTCTTCTGTCATGTAGTTGAGGGCAGGGCAAGCGACTAGGAAATTTGTTTTAATGCCAGAATTTCTATGCCTGAGATTTTCCGTCACTGTAGAGTTCTGGACATAGGCTATACTGCCGTAGAACTTTCGCAGCTGGTATTTGGAAATAATGTGCTGCGTGGTTGAAGAGGTGCCCGTAGTATCCCTCTCTTAATCCGGTTTAACGGACCGAACCTCAGTCTTTCTTAATGAGCCAAATTTACGCCAAGGATTTTGAAATCATGATAATGATAAGGTCTTTGTTATGGGCGGCTCAAATTTTCCATTCTGCTCACCTCCTCGAGACAGTTTGGCACGGTATCGTTCGTTTGCACAGTTGGCGGCCTGATTTCGGGTGTCGTGACGGCGGCTGTTGCAGGACAAGATGGTTGGTTAGCTGGTGATGTGTGTCAATTGTTTACAAAAAGGCGAGACGCCAGCACACCCCTATGAAGGTGATGGGTTTGAAAGTGCGCCATAATCGGTAACCACTGTGTTACAGTAGGCTTCTGGGTTCCTATTACGAAGCGCATTGCGTCACTTACTGTATATCTACTTTCCTCGCATGGCAGCTATAGCTCCAAGTGTGGGTGCAATACATCTTGACAGAGTACACGGTCGTAAGGGCTCAGTTAGCTGAGTGCAAGTTTTTGCAAAAATATTTATCTTCATCTTTTGCTATATCTTTTCAAGGTGTGGATTAATGGCGAAAATTTCATAAGCCAATGTAACTTATAACAAATATTGTTCATAAGAAATTCACTCAGAGATTTACCTCAGAAAGAAGTAAAGCCTCCGGTTCTCAAAGAATGACAATAGCTGCTTTCAGCAGCTTCCAACGAATTCAAGAGTTAAGCATGTTCTTACTGTAAAGTACAGGCTTAGTACATGATAATGCGTGTTCTGCTGTTTTCCGGGCAGTCCTTTTTAAAGATATGTTTTGAATTGTGATTTCAAACATTTTGTGCTGACGAAAAATGTGTCCGTTTTAACACTGATTGCTGCTTATAGCTGACCACGGTAGAGAGCGACAAGTCCCTAGATGATCTGCACATGTCGCCTCGTGAGACCATAGTCGTTGAACACAGATAGTTCGACCGGGCGAATAAGCTTCTAAAGTTTGCGGCTATGATGTTCGAGCCGTTCTTTAGTACCGTCTGACTGTAAAGGTGATTCGAGTTTTACGGAATAAAATTTTAGTTGTAGCCGCTGTTAGTGAAGGTATGCTTCTAACAAGTGACTGTACAACTTTAAATAATTCAATCACGAGTAATTAGTTTGCATATGGTGAGGCTTGGCGTTCGCCTTTGATGAGGCTTTTTCTCAAAGGTCACACGTTTCATATAGGTTGTGTACAGTTTGTATCACCCGTAAGGAGTTTATTGTCAAATTTGTCTAATATAAATAATAGATAGCCTTCGGATAACTCGCAGCGATCGAGGAGTAAGGACAGGGATCAATGGTACATGATTAGAGGCTGGATTACTAAATCCGGAATTATTGGGTTAGATTCACGAAAGAGGATAAAATTTTGGTAAAATTTTCCTTTTTCAGAGCCATTAATAATTCGTCCCAGGTTGCTTCGGTGGAACCTGCCGGAGGCTGGTAGCAAGTCATTGTCTTGCAAACAACAGGAACAGCACTCCTTTTTGCTGTGATCATATGAGAATGTGCGCGCAAGAGGTACTGACAGGCTCCCTGGTAGCTGTCCTTCCCATCGTGATGAAAAGTGCTTTGTATAATCCATATTATTTCTGCTGTTGTAAGTTGCCGCATGTTTGGCCGACGTTTGATGAAGGGTAATTTTTCTTAGCGTATTCATCGGTTCTGATTGACTGAATGCGTGTGCGCTGCAGGTGCACGGTATATTTCTCTTCATAGAAAAAGATGCCGCTGGCAAAGTATCCAGTTAAAGGCACTACAATGCCTCATTTAGCTTTTAGACATTTTTGTGGAAGACATGCAAGCACCGTCACATAAAAAGAATCACTGGTAAGACATAGAAAACGACCGCTTAGGAAACAGTCAGACAGATGTATAATAAGACTATGCCAAGTGTTTATTTGTTAAATTCAACTATTGAATACTAGTTTATTTACATGCAGGTGAAATACCCTGATGCTATTGGGTGTATTCAATAATAAATGTTGCACAAAATAAATGGTGTTCAGAGACAGTACACCTTGCTGGCAGTGATTGAAAATGTTATTCCACTGTTATCACATAAATTTTCTAATTCACCATTGTTTGCGCAACTGTATTATTCTGCTTACAAGTAGGTAAGCATCTCTTGGAATAGCTGAAGGATATGTTTTAGTGTTCCTTAATGATGACATTATGTAGGAGAGGTATATGCAACCAAACAACCAATTTTACGCCTATAACCGTCGATACAGTAAGACCTTTTCAGGAGTCGTGGTCTGCCCTTAGCTCAGAAATAGCTGGAATAGATCGTCTCATTTTTGAATTATAACTTCGAAATTAACCGTATCGTTGAACGGAATTTGATATGCCGGATTAACATCTGTGCAAAGCCAATGTGCAAAAGGTTAATGAATACAGTTTGAAAAAACGGCCAGCAATAAATCGCCCGTAAATAATTCTGTTGTATAGGTTTGCATGTTAACATCTGAATCAATATCGCTATGTTCATCAAAACTCTGCTGTTAGCCATTTTCAGTCATATTACAACTAGTTTGGGGCAACATAATCCCTAAACCGTAAATATGAATGCTGAATATGGCGTGATGCCCCCCCCCGGAATACAGTATTCATTTAACAATAAATAAATTGCCGTATCTGTTTTTGAAGCAATGTAATTACTTTTCAAACTATGCTACTTCAGCATATGCCTTGGTAAAACAGATCAGTTTAATTTTTCTAATGCAATGATTAAACATACGAAGGTTCGATAAACAGGCTTATTTTAGGCCGACGTTTCGAACTATTATCACATTGTTCATCATTGGAGTGGAAGTGGAATGAGTGGAAGCAGAATGAGTGGAAGCAGAATTAGGGCGCAGTGTTGAATAACCCGGTATAAAACAATGAATCATATTTATGCACATTTGAACCCGTTATAAAGCGTGAATCAAAGCGAATTTATTATAAATTTACTTCCCGTATTCCTTTGCTTATAGCTATGATATGTATTTCAAGACTTCTTACTTCGAACATTGCAACTGAATCGACACAAGTTTCAGGAAAACAATGAAAATTTGATGCATCATTTATTACAAGATTTTCGAAAGCTCAAATCATTCATAGTTCAAGAACCGGGTGAAAGTGGAAATTGCTGCAAACAATCTTACACTTAGATTTTATTTCTCTAACTGCTGAGTATTGAACATTATCCGTCTATATTGAATTGGATTCAACTTCTAGAATGAGACATTATTTGCCACAGTCAGTACCATTTCAGAGAAAAAAATCGAGAGCGATATTAAAATTATAAGCATATTTCCCTGGCAAAAAACTAGATTTAATAGAAAACCGCGCATATGGTTTTTCTTCAGCTTGGAAAGCAGACGAGGTTTTTACATATGTCTGTTCCACAATAAAAATGGTGTTTAGGAATCCAATGACATTTTGACTTCATCCACACCGTGGGAAAACTTAGCAAATCAAATGCAGCCTTAAAGTCGAGGAAGCTGGTAGACAAAGTAGCTGGAATAGTCGGTAAGATGATCCGAAGAGTGAAATTTTGGTTATTCCAGGAGCACCTCATCCGGAAGCCAACTTGACTTGAACGACGCTTTCCGATCAAATATCTGCCTCAGCTTCTAATAGATTATTAGAAGAAAAGTTTCCTGAGAGCTTACGTTATTGTGACACCACAATAATTGTAACACTTAGTCGTCGGATCTTTTTAAAACATAGAAACAATGACTTCACGCTTCCATTCTCTAGAAAATGCTTGGAAGTCTAGACTTGATGAAATAAGGTATGGAGCTTTCATAGCATTACCTTCTTCCATACTGGAAGAGTTCGATTCGTCCCGCAGGTTTTCTTCGCCTGCGTATCAAAGGTTTTGGATTTCTTGTTCCGTGGGTTGGTCTGTGCCAAATTTTTGTTTTGGCAGGAGAATTAGGAGGTCAGAACTGACATCTCTGAATGGCAACCATTGAACAGCTACCAATGGGACACCCTTTTCAACTCTGATGACTGACGCATTTTTCTGCTTACCAGATGATTGTCGTACCCATTCGAAGACCATTCGTCTGTCAACATTTCTGGCTGCTTTGTCGATCCTGTTTTCTCCCTCACTGTTCCGGATGAGTGAACTAATGGGATTTCGATGAGTTGCCTTAGAGGGTTCAGCATGGTATCGCAATTAATCCTCCTGTGTCTGATTCATTAGCGCTCTAAGGGTTTTGGCTGTGTCTGTAACTTAGTGAAATTTGGCATTTTTGTCCCGATGATTTACGTCGAGACAATGGATCTTTTATTTGAAGTCTTTGTAAACTTTATCGACGCTGAGACTTCCCGATTCCATGGCACAAACCTATCACTTCACCTGTCTAAGGCTGACTGTGCCAACTCGACATATTTTAGTCTGTTCGAGCAGCTGATGTATTTCAACCAGTCGCAGTGTTTACGATACAGCTAATTAAAGACGAATTTCACCATGATGAACAGACCCAATGCAGGTGCAACGCCCGACGCAAGTATCGAGTAGTAAACCGCACAATTTTTGATGAAGATGACATGGTCTAATTGAGTGTTTAGACTTCCATTAGTGGACGTCCTACTGGTTTGGGGTATTCGCTTACGAGGAAATAATGTGCCGCTGACAATTAGGTCATTTTCGCGCATAAACTTAATAGGTGAGTGTCGTTATCATTCATACCGTAAATACCATGATTGCTAGTAGGGATGATCATGTGCTGTACCCGGCTCCAAGCGGTCAAAGAAAGCGTTTTTGTCGCTGCAACTCGAAACATTTGATTGAACACAGGAGAAAATCATTTTTGGCGTTACCTGTTTGACATCCACGAGACAAACTAAGATTTTCTCCGACATCTGCTCACAGAAATGACTGCTCGACTTACTATACAGTGCAAGAGGATACTCACGCTAGAACAGTATTATCTCCTGCAGCCGGACTACCAAAATGGCCATCAGTCATGCAGATAAAGTATCCCCTTTCTCGGGAGGTGCTTCTCCTTGATTGACAGTAGATAGAGTTTGTACTGACTGGCCGTGCGGCAGATATAATCAAACTGATCTTCGCCAGATATGAAACGAATGCTCCAATATATGACACGGAAATTATCTATGGTAGTGCTGATTGCTAGTTTCTGGATCCTATTAATTTGGTTAGTTGTAAATGGCAAAATGATTGTACTGTGCTTATAATCATTGATGCGCTGAAATAGTTCAAACCACTGTTCAATGTGAAAACTTTCTAACGGGGTCAAAATTACTATGATTTGAACCTGCAGATCACATTAAAAATTTTGCGCCCATTGCGGTAACGAAAGTTATGTTATAAGCTAGAACGGGTCTCAACTTGGTTTAAGCCGTTCATCTAGTTTCAAACTTATATTCCGTGACATAGATGGTTGATTTCATAACTAATGGTTGATCCTGACTTCAAAGCTCATCTGAACTCGATAAGGCAAAAAGTGGAAGATATTTTCGAATTTGAAGGATGCAAGGTCGGCCGAGGAACCTACGGGCACGTGTACAAAGCCAGGCGGAAAAATACTGAGCAGGGTGATCAAAATGTATACGCGTTGAAGATGATCGAAGGCACAGGCATCAGCATGTCGGCATGTCGGGAAATCGCCCTTCTGCGTGAGCTGAAGCATCCTAATCTCATCTCGTTGCAGGTATAAAATTTCGACGTCAGGTTGACGAATCGTAGTTTCATTTGCTAAACCGGCTAAAATATTCTATCTGATGCATTAACGAGTCAGATGTTCAGAAATTCCTCCATCATATGTTTGGCATTGCTAGAAGTTGACATCTGGGTATCGAAGGTCTGATAAAGGTTCAAAGTCCGAACAGCTTGTTGGCTATTTCTGTACTGTCTGTTTGCAGTACTAATAATGCTGATAATTTGAGGTTATACACTGGATGCTGATTCAAAGCCTGTGAGTACACTGTTGATATATACCTGCGTTTGACGAGGCATATTACCTTTTGCATGAGCTAACGTTGCCTGTTATTATTCTGAGACGTTGTTTCTAATCGTCAGACATGCACCGTTTTGCTGTTCAAGCTTTGTGCAGATTACGATTCATACCGTTTGATTCATTCCATAAGCTGGATTTTTGATCCTTAAGTTTAGTGGCTCCTCATCAACAAATATGTTTATCCTACAGCTGAGTTCAAATGACTGCGAATCGAATAAGTTTGTGGTCGTTTCTCGCATTCAACCTGTTTTAGCATCATTTAGACAAAAAGCTCTCGACACGGGTGCGCCAGAAACCCCGGGAACATCCGTTTTTCCAGCTCTGAGTTACCAGTTCAGCTGGCTCTAGAACAAAAGAAAGTATTAAAAACAGTAGTTAGCAATAAGAAAATGGATATGACAAAGTCGAGCATGATTTTCAGCGACATGAACTTTCAGTACGCTATTGAAGTACGATATTTTGACTGAATCAACGATAATCTTATTCATGTTAAACAGAGTCCATTTTATCGTCAAGTAGGCAATTCAGTTACACAAACGGTAGTAGAGATTTGCTGGAACAAGGCTTACTAAGGGCGATCAAAAAGTCATGCAATAAACCTAATAGCTAGCGTATAAAGGAATAAAATTGAAGTAATATGTAGGTTAGAAATCGATCATATGAAATATGTAGAACTTGATAAAAGATAAAGGAAATACATAGCTGAAGGTTTGCAGGTTTTCAGTTGCTGATTACTAAAGAAAATTATCAAAATAACAGAAGCAGGAAGAAATTTAATCAAAGACTGAGAATGGGGAGAGAAAAGTATTATCTGTCAATTCATAGGCGCAGAGGGAATGGTCTTCCGTCATTTTTGCACTTTAAAAATATTGAGCCCAACTCCTATGCGCAACGTAATTTTTGTTAATGGTTAATTACCGTGAGCAAAAATTTCGTCGTATTATGCTTTGGTGCAAAGAGCCGAAGAAGGGGTGATAAGTCGTTCACCTACAAACAGTAAGAAGAACAAATTGCTCTGCTGTTCGCAAGGATCGTAAGTCTCGTCTATACAGCTTTCAACGACTCTGCGTACGCAGTATGCTCAAATGGTTCCACAGGATCTGAGAAAACTGTCAGATTAGCTGAGAAACCGGTGCCTGGCTTGGTTTCATAAAACAGCCCAAAACAGGATAGAAAAATATTTAAGGTATTTGTCGTTTGTTAGTCGTGTGCTGGCCGCGGATACGTTGAAAGACAGTACAAAACGTGGAAGCTCCTTGTTAAAATAGATATGCTTGCGAAGATGAGGTATATGACCTTTGCCACAGCAGTGAACTTTGCCAAATCTGAATCTGAGGTACCATTTTTAACGGCCAGACATCATGAATCTGGATTAATCTGCTATTTGAGTTCCTTTAGCCTCAGATGACGATTGTAAAATATTGGTAAAATATATATCAGTTGCACTGGCTTTGGCATGGTGTATGGTTATATCAGAACTTGCGAGACTTATGGTCACTTTCATGGTATCGATTCGTCGCTAATTGTCGGCTAGTCCAAGCGATGCAAGTGATTTGATTTGAGAATATTGGCAGGAGATATGATAATGGACTCAGTAGTGTTTCGTTCTTTGTATTTCGCATAATTTATTTAGCCCTAGAGATTCATAAATTCAATACTTTTAAGCATATTCGTAAGGCACCTATCAGCGTAAGAGTACCGGTATATGCTCCATTTGCCACTCTTGTAATTTTCCTAATCGTCATATGATTTCAGAGATCCGATGTTACGTCATCGCCGCAGTATGCTAGATGCATACGACGGAAAGATAATCGAAGAAAATTTTGAAACGTTGCAGGCTTTTGTATACAGGGAAACCTCGCTGAAGAAGAGGAGGGTAGTTGGTGAGCGAGGTAATTCGAAGCATCGGCAATGGTATTTTTGAGATTGTTGTCTACCAGTAAGCTATTAGATTTGCCACAGTAGTACGAAACAAAAGTGCTTTTCTACTTTCCGTATGATGTTTTGTGTGATAGACAGACAGACGCCGTCTTACGTAAGATTTAAGTTACGCAAACCTATACGTAGTAGTTCGAATTTTACGGATTAAGCCGGATTTAGCCCTCCTTTCACCGTTAATTACGCTCCACTGCTGACATGTTTACAGTACTTATATGCAGTAGTACATTAGCATACTTTACGGACTATTTTTGTTAGTTTTTTTTAACAGAATGCACACAAATCAGATTTCAGTATGCAGTTATTAACATGAAATAATATAAAGGTAGGGTAAATGGTATGAGAAAAATAATAAAAAATGTTTCATTTGGCCGTTCGACCTTATGAAATTATCTAGATGACTGAACGGTGACTTCTTTTCTTAAATCACTCGATCACAGGCTAAAGCGTAAATAGTTTGTTTGGGACTTTTAAAGACCGGAGGGATTAGTTTCGATCTTCTTCAACCATGCTGCTCCTGAAGAAATCTCGTGGAACAAAATTGTCATCTCTTTCATCATGAAAAGTGTCAGTTCCTCTTTGCTTCTGAAGCTTCAGCTTCAAATCCTTTTGCTGTTTCGAATTCAGCGATTTCTTAATTTGATAATTCGTCACTATGTGAGTCAGTCAGTATTTCGATATGATGTTCATGTTTTTTTATACGGGGGCAGCATCAATCACAACTCTGTTCACTGTTGTACACCTTTATATTTTTTAATAATTTTATGAAGTCATAGCAGCGATGGCTTGGGCATGTGTTGCAATTGCTTCCAGAAAGGAAAGCGAGGCAATTATATGTTGCCCAGGGGATGGCCATGTTTAACCTGGTGCAAATACATGGAAGGAGTCTTCTTCAGACTCCAGTTGTCTTCTGTCAGAGCTCAGGTGTTGGCACAAGATCGGAAACGTTGGAAGCACTGTTTAACGTATCTGTCTCCGCGACGCGTAAGGAGAAGTAGTTATGACAGATGAAGATGATGATGAAAATGAAGTTAATTTTGATATTCATCTCGACCAGTTTTGGTGCGTTTAGCTTTGGGTTCATTTTTTCAGCTTCATTTCATTTATCCAATCATGACTGTACTTTACGACGTCGCATTGATGTGGTTGAATAGAAATATATGGGACGTCCGGTTTCAAAAAACAAAGCGAGGCGGAGGAAGGCGGACGTTTGCACCAGCTTGAAGGTCGTCTGTCGCTTTTGCTAAAGACCGCGCTGTTAGGTGGCGTACGATAACAGAGGAGCGTTAATTAATATTGTTATACCTCGAAACTCCTTCCTTAGCTGTTATAGGATAATTTGCTTAAGTTTGAATTTATCAAGTCAAGATCTGCATGGCCATTTTATTTATGAGCAGTCAATTAAAGACGATAAAATTGAGTTGGACTAAGTAACTTTCTGACTGGCCCTGTTTGAGTTTAATGCAAGCGTTACTGACTGAATTGGTTTGTGTCGAATATCTTCCTGCCTGAGACTGAATATTTTTCTGAGATTTAAACAAATGCCATTTTGAGGTAATTTTTAGACCACAGTTATCGTATGTTAAGTCGAAGTATCGTTTAGGGTGTGTTTCTGTCACATAGCGACAGGAAAGTATGGTTGCTATTCGAATACGCCGAACACGACCTATGGCATATCATTAAGTTCCACCGAGCTGCGAAGGCCAGCAAAAGACCGGTGCTTGTTCCGAAGGGCATGGTGAAAAGCTTGTTGTATCAAATACTGGATGGAATACACTACTTACATATGAACTGGGTTCTTCACCGCGACCTGAAGCCAGCGAACATTTTGGTCATGGGAGACGGGCCGGAACGTGGCCGCGTAAAAATAGGTGATATGGGCTTTGCTCGTCTTTTTAACAATCCGCTGAAGCCGCTGGCTGATCTCGATCCCGTCGTGGTAACGTTTTGGTACCGCGCCCCTGAACTACTGCTTGGGGCCAGGCATTACACGAAGGCAATCGACATATGGGCCGTCGGCTGCATATTTGCCGAGCTATTGACATCCGAGCCAATATTCCACTGTCGCCAGGAAGATATCAAAGCGAGCAACCCGTATCATCAAGACCAACTCGACCGCATCTTCAACGTCATGGGATTTCCGTCTGACAAAGGTTGGGAGGACATTCGTCGAATGCCAGAGCATCAGAAGCTGTTGACGGATTTCAAGCGAACAAACTATGCCAACTGCAGTCTTCAGAAATACATGGAAAAACACAAGATCAAATCAGACTGTCGCGCTTTTCTGCTGCTACAGAAACTGCTTACGATGGACCCGGTGAAGCGTATATCCGCTTACGAAGCGATAGAGGATCCGTACTTCAAGGTACTTCCTGATTTGTTGCTCATTTTTCCTGGTTATATCGTTGGTTTCAGGAAGATCCTAAGCCTACTGCAGACGTGTTTATTGGCTGCCCAATACCGTATCCGAAGCGGGAATTCTTGACCGATGACGATAACGATGATAAGCTAGATATGTCAAAACAGAACACCCAGACAACGCTGGTGAGTGTACCTCTTCGTTGCACGAATCTGCATCATGAATATTTCAGATTAAATAGCTCATATTGTTATGCTACAAGCTATCGACGTTTATAAAACATTGCCTTGGTTCACAGATTTTAGCTCAGTGATGTCGCACTCTCCACATGATTTTCCTTCGTTTTCTTCCAAAATATGTATGGACAGAAGCGCTGAGCCCTGCCATCTCTATTTTTTGCTTCGAGTGTTTGTTATAAAACCATGACATAAATATCGTCGTGGCCATCCTGTGTCGTTTTCAAACGTTATTAGGAATGATTGTAGACTGTATGTACTATGAGAATTATTTTGGTTTTTTGGAACATGTAAAGTCAACCCATTTTTATTATTTTTCGGCTCATCTAATGTTATTTTAACCAGGATGAGAATATCCATTTTTTGTATTGATGACAACATTAATTGACTCATCCTTCTTCGTAGTTAACAGGGATCACGACTGCCTAGTCTCGTCGCCCACGTTCATTTGTCTCGTGCGATATTTTTGCACAAGCTTCCATGTCTCTCTTGTAGCTCTTCGCTTCATCTGAGCGCCAGGGTCTTTCAACTGAGCGCTTGCAGCCCCTTGGGTAGCTAGTCTTTGCTGAATTCCATCAGTCATCCTTCAGCCATGCGATGTAATCCGCCGCACCGTGACTCAAGCTGCACACATCGAGCTGAGGGCCTGTTTTGTTTGTGGTTTGCGTTTCTTTCGATCTTGGCAAATGGTTTTGGCTACTGTCTACGCTTGACAGGCGTCTCGGATGGTATACCCGTTTGCGTTTTACACCGAACGAATAGGGGTACAGGTACGGCCGTTAGGAATGCGCCTTTGTGAGCTCGAGCACAGTTGCTTTGTCTACGGCGGTTTTTACTCCCCCGTACGGAGAGATGGCTCATCTCACGGAGTTTTTTTTATCATATATATAATCCTACCATTTAACTCATTATGCGTAAAAGACAACGCTACTCTACGCGATTCACTGGTTGTTTTTTATCATTCGTTTGTCATTCGTGTCTTATAGCAACGTCAATTTCATGGACTTCAGATACAGGCAGTTTTCGTCTTTTTCATAGCGTCATTCTTTCAGCACAGATAATGAACCGTTTCTCTGTAGCACTGGATGGACGAAAAGTCTCCACATTTAATTTTATCAGTCATTATATCTCACTTGTACATTTTCATAGCAGCTAAGCAAATACAATAGCTGTTGTATGGGGTAATTATTCTTCGTTTGTTATTCGCCACATGAATGGTGTCGCGATGAGCGCAAAGCATAGAAGTTGTTTAGTCATCGTAGTAGTTGATGTTTATTGACTCGTCTACTCAGTTAGAAGGTGTGAACTGCGAATGGAGGTAAATGTGGAAGTTTTTCTACAAGTGTCCATATGATGAATAAAGGAGGTAAGATGAAAATATGCTAAATAATTTGGAATAAAGATGATAATTGTCTACCTGTAAGGGTTGGACGTAAAGAGAGAATGTTTGTGCTTATTTACCTGTCATATTTCTATTGTCCCCTGACTATTATGATGAATACGTTCAAACTTTGTTTATGAAAAAAAGGCTTTTCGCTCTAACTTGTCACAGCACTGGCCGATTTCGAGGGGTTGTTCATTTTCATGGACAAAAGGTAATTTCTGACTGCGGAGTTCAACTGCTGCACATAGTGTTCCACTGCGCATAGTGCAAGCTCTGCGTGTGGAATTTCAAGGAACAGCAGTGGCAGATGTTCAGTACGTCGTAGTCCTCTTGCCCAAAGTCTCTTTATATGTCGTCTGCTTTGTATCTCGCAAAGGATGCTCGAATTGTGAACTTCTCTTTTGACATCTTCACTTAATCTTCCACTACAGTTGTGAAAGCATGATTGGGAGAAAATGTAATTCACCTACATGGCTATTCTGCGGTTTTCATCAGTAATAATCTTGCGAGGAAACATCGCATTTTCGAACAGTATTTAGTACTCATCATAGGTGAATGTAGGTACCTCCTTGGCAGACTTGAGCATATCTAGAGTTTCACTATTGCACTGTTAGTTTTTCTTTTCTGTTTGCGTACTTTCTAGACAGATTTTTATGTCAATTTCCACGTACTGTCTGCCGTGACACTTCATTGCCACCCTCTGATGTTGAAACTTTGCAACCTTACCTCACTTGCGCTCAGTGCAACCTTATCCTCACAAGCAGGATACACGCAGTGACGTTTTTTGTGAAAATCTAGATTGCTTTGGTTTTGAACCGGCTGACCTTTTGCGACATTATCGCATCGGCTGTGAACCTCGGTGAAAACGAAGGGGCAAAATCATCTGCAAACAGCATCACCAACCGTGGAATTCTCTTTGACTAGGTAGCGCCCATTGACCAAATCCATAGAATTTTGTGAAGGATTCTGATTCCCTAGTTAATCATTTCCGTCTTGACGCGGTACGGAATCGAAA